AACTGATTACATTTTTATCCCTCTTGCCACCTCCTGTTAAATCTTCTGTAAAAGATCAAGGCCAAGGCCAACTAGGCAATGAAGTCTGAAATCTGGCTCTATCTGTGTACATACTTTTTCTTCATTTTACTTCCTCCCTCCTTTGACATTGACTGAAAAAATTAGCGTCACATTAAGTAAGTAAGGGTTGAAGAAAACCCAGATATTCTAAACAGTTCCATTACATGTTGCCTTCTGCTTCCCTACTTGTTCCTTAGAATAAAATCTATGCCATGCAAAAGAGCTATCTTTTAGTAAATGCTAACAACATTGTATGTATGTACTTTCTTAAAAAGTGTTCGACCCACCTGTATGTACTCTCTTAGATAGTATTTGACCCGCCTTTAAGGTGGAGAAGAAGATTTCACTGAGTAGATGCTGCTGACATACGAAAGTTATAATGGTCACATTATCAAAGTTGGCCTTGAGGGACTTAAAATTCTGAAAGAGCAACCATGTCATTCTGCAGCAGCTCAGTCTTTGTCGCGCAGCTACACTGCCATTCCACCAAGAAACTACTTTCCCACTTCCTTGAGACCCCTCCTCAGACCTCTCAGAGGCTGCTATTAGGTCACCACACAGACTTTCCTGCTTTACTACTATGAAGACATGTATCTTGGAGGAACCTCTACCAGCATTCTCCAGTGAAGTTCAGTAAATAGGTCTTCATGTCACTTCTTTTACCAATATTGACAAGAGCACGCTATAGAACAGATGCCCACCAGGACAGACCACAGACTTGCATCCAGCTTGTTAAATTTATTAACATACATAATTGCACTGGTGGTCATCACTTTACTCCTGCCCCTTTACCCTCTCCACCACATCACCTCCTCCACTGACTGATGGCCAATTTCAGTCAAATTTGGTAAGTAGAGATGACAAAATTATACAGTTCCTACATGTCAGTTAAAAGTGGTGCTTGGGTAGAAACGCCAGACCAACACTTCTGTCTCAATCAGAAAAAAGCAGTTATAATTCAGCTCCTACTCATTCTGAGAGGCAGCCAGAAAGCAGTCAAATGATAAGCCTGATATTTAGCATATATATGTAAGTTAAAACCACCCACATCATGGGGGATCAGGTTCACCTTCTGCATTTATAATAGGGTTGAGGAGTAAGGGGCACATTAAATGTATCTGGATAAAAACCGGTTCAGTAGATTAACTGGTTTTAACAGGGAACAAGTTTCTAAGAAAAGAAACAAAAAAAGGTTAAAAATTGCAAGCTAGAAAGGAGTCCTCTTTGTGAGTGACACTAACAATCCTCTATTTAAATAAAACAGAATTATCCTTCCTAATAAATCTTATCTTTCCTACTAAGTTTGTGCACATAATGAAAGCAAGCTTGCAGGTGTTTTTTACTTAGTGTTACCCAGAAACAAACCTCCACTAAGAACTATCTTAATTCATAGAATCATAGAATGGTTTGGGTTGGAAAGGACCTTAAGATCATCTAGTTTCAACTCCCCTGCCATGGGCATGGACATCTCGTACTAAACCATGTCACCCAAGGCTCTGTCCAACCTGGCCTTGAACACTGCCAGGGATGAAGCATTCACAACTTCCTTGGGCAACCCATTCCAGTGCCTCACCACCCTCACTGCAAAGAACTTCTTCCTTATATCTAATCTAAACTTCCGCTGTTTAAGTTTGAAGCCATTACCCCTTGTCCTACCACTATTAAATGTATCTGGATAAAAACCGGTTCAGTAGATTAACTGGTTTTAACAGGGAACAAGTTTCTAAGAAAAGAAACAAAAAAAGGTTAAAAATTGCAAGCTAGAAAGGAGTCCTCTTTGTGAGTGACACTAACAATCCTCTATTTAAATAAAACAGAATTATCCTTCCTAATAAATCTTATCTTTCCTACTAAGTTTGTGCACATAATGAAAGCAAGCTTGCAGGTGTTTTTTACTTAGTGTTACCCAGAAACAAACCTCCACTAAGAACTATCTTAATTCATAGAATCATAGAATGGTTTGGGTTGGAAAGGACCTTAAGATCATCTAGTTTCAACTCCCCTGCCATGGGCATGGACATCTCGTACTAAACCATGTCACCCAAGGCTCTGTCCAACCTGGCCTTGAACACTGCCAGGGATGAAGCATTCACAACTTCCTTGGGCAACCCATTCCAGTGCCTCACCACCCTCACTGCAAAGAACTTCTTCCTTATATCTAATCTAAACTTCCGCTGTTTAAGTTTGAAGCCATTACCCCTTGTCCTACCACTACAGTCCCTAATGAAGAGTCCCTCCCCAGCATCCTTGTAGGCCCCCTTCAGATATTGGAAAGGCTGCTATGAGGTCTCCATGCAGCCTTCTCTTCTCCAAGCTGAACAGCCCCAACTTTCTCAGCCTGTCTTCATACGGGAGGTGCTCCAGCCCTCTGATCGTCCTCGTGGCCCTCCTCTGGACTTGATGCAAGAGCTCCATGTCCTTTTTATGTTGAGGACACCAGAACTGTACACAATAAGCAAGGTCTCACGAGAGCAATCCCTGAAGGACACCACTCCTTACTGTTTTCCAACTGGACATTGAGGCATTGACCACAACTGTTTGCGTGTGGCCATCCAGCCAGTTCTTTATCCACTGAGTGGTCCATCCATCAAATTGGTGTCTCTCCAATTTAGAGACAAGGATGTTGCGTGGGACAGTGTCAAACACTTTGCACAAGTCCAGGTAGATGATGTCAACTGCTCTGCCGCTGTCCATCACTTCTGTAGCCCCATCACGGAAGGCCACCAAATTGGTCAGGCAGGATTTCCCCTTAGTGAAACCATGTTGGCTGTCACCAGCCACCTCATTGTTTTTCATGTGCCTCAGCATGCTTTCCAGGAGAATCTGCTCCAAGATTTTGCCAGGCACAGAGGTGAGACTGACTGAATTCACCACAGCAATCTTTTGCCTATACATCTATTAAGACATTTACATTGCATTGCTTTATTTTCCAAGTAAAGTTACATGCCCAAGGACTCTTTTTGTTAGTTTCTTTATCTTTTGCTGCCATCTGCAACTTTTTTTCCTGATGTTGCTTTACTGACTACTAATGAGGTTAAGATGATGTTTGGCAGTTGTATGCAGCCACCTGCTTTATAGATCCTCAGTATTCAAAGCTGAGATGTTGCATAGCAGGAGTTTGGGCTCTGTAATTATCCACTGTTATTTTCACTTACAGTTAGTTTCTTTTATTTGAAAACTGCAGAATTAACTTATATTTTCCAAATTAAAATCTTTCTACTATAGATTCAGTTAAGTATGGCTTATCTATCACTTTCTTTTTATTTCAAAGCTGACTGAAGATACAGTTGGGTGCATTCCAGTTTTCGTCTCTTTCAGGCCACTTTGTGACCATCTCAGCACTAATCCTGCCTGAGGACTCCCCAGTGCCCTTTGCCTCCTGGTCAGAATAGTCATCTGTCCTTTTTGCTGCTTTCAGATGCTACCTTTATATTTTAAACTGATTTTGAAGATTTCATGTTTTTAGGGTACACATGTATAGTACAATTTCCTCAGATTTAAGCTGTTTTCCCTCAGGGATTGACTTCCAGGTTGGAAAATCATTGTTACAGCTTTGCCAGACCTCCGTTTCCTTTTACACTCCTCGACTTGCCTTTTGTAGTGAAGAGCACTTGATAGCACAGTGTTCAGCACTGCGCGTGGTAGTACTTAGGGCATCACACCAGATTAACTTCTCCTCTGCAATTTGCATCACAACTGTCAAAAAACGAATGGTATTCTAGCACACTTTATAGAAGTAAAAGAAAGAGGCAGTCACGATCCAGAAGAAGGTATTTCATTAATATATCTTCAAAAGACCTGTATTTTTCCCTCCACTTTTAAAGTATAGGTTTTCTAGCCTGTAGTTCTTATTTCATATATGTCAGTGAGGAACTCATTAGATACTTACCAAAAGATAAGTGAATGTCTGAATGAAGAGAATATGTTGATATGTGCCCATGTTTGTGGAGACAACGCCTGGGCAGCTTACTAAATGAAGACAGACCTTAATGTAAACTGAGTAAATAATTTTAAAAGGAAACACCTCTAATGCTAGTTGGTTTGTTTGCTTGCCTGTGGGCTATTTTGCAAAGTTTTATACAGTCATCTGCTGAAAGTCAGTGCTGTGAGAATCAGATCAAGAAGGGTTAATGCACCCAGGTATTCTACTTCTCTGTTTTCACATAGTTCTAAAATAACGTTATACATTTTATGATTAGAAAATTTTGGCTGTTTTTCAGTGACACATTTTTTTTTAACTGACAAAGCCACTTATTTTAAGACAATCATGCCTGGGTTTAGATATGATAAATAACCTGCATTCCTCTGTTGCAATGCTAAGTCAAAGTCCAGACTGTTATCAAGTATGAAAGCAAACATCTGAAGTAATTTAAAATTTAAAAAAAGCTACAAAATAAAACAAAAAAATAATTTGCATTTTATAATAATATAAATAATTAGATTTTAATTATGCAACATAACAGTTTGGAGAAGAGTGAGCTGAAACCTTTTTAATTCACGTTTGTTCTTTGTTGACCTGTTTTGTCATCCTGAACTGCATGTTAATCCCTTTGATTTTTTTTTGTGTGTGCTGCTTTTTTCCTTCTTTCTCTTCTAAATAAAAAATTCATGAGTAGCTTAATACATCATAAATTGGAGCTACTGACCTGTGAAGACACAGCCCCTGATTCTGTCCACCCATTCCTGCCAACTCAAAATGAGCCTCATTCCTCCTCACTTTCCCCAGGTAAACCTATAGTTGGATAATCTTTTTAGTCTGTTTTACCATGTAGTCATAAGGCCAGCATAAAAAAAGGAATGGAAACTCAACAGACAGGGATGAATGGAGTAGAACTGCCTTCTACACCAACAGGGCCCATAAACTACTCCTGGAACTGAAGTCTAATGTTAAAGAAAATTCTCCATCCTAGGTTTCCCACAGCAGTCTCAGTCCTCTGATTCTTAGAAAAACAGTAATTGAGAGGTACAGGAATAGGAACAGCTGAGCCGGAAGCCTTCAGGGAGAGACTCAGAACAATGAAATTCCTGGGATCTTACACCCTCATGTTGCACCTGACCGTCACATGCTCTTGCTGTTCATGCACCTTGCATGCACCTCTTGGGCCAATGGTGAATTTTGGTCTTCTTGTCCATCGCTGGGTTTTTTCGCTGTCTCCAGGCAGGAGTAAAGCATAAGGCTCCAGCAGCTTCAGCTACCAGTGCTAAGAAATACTCATGCTAAGCAAAACTACTCAGTTAAAAGAACTCAGTTAAAGGAATTTGGCTAACTAAACTTAATTCACAACAGTCAACAAAGCCGGTTGCAATCTTCCCCAGTAGTCGCTGTGGGTTCCTCTGGCCTTTGTCTCCATTATTTCAATCTACTCTCATGGCAAGGTCTAACCATGTTTATCAAATCTCCAAGCACTGGCAATTATCTCTGCTTGAAAATTACAATCCTAACCAGGACCAACCTAAGGCCAGGCAGTCCAACTTCCCCCTGCCTGGAGGGTCAATACCACATTTTTTCCGATTATGTTATCCTGTTCACCTGGACAGAACTCTCTCAATAACAGGTTAACATCTGCCCAAGATCGGTCATGTATCAAACAAAGGACAAGAAAATAATAATGCACATCAACCCACATCTTCCCTTAATCTGAGCATTTGACTTGACCACGTAACAAAATCCTCAGGGTTTGGAGGCGATGGGTATATACTAGAACAAAGAACTCAACAGCAGTGCACAATACAATTGCTCAATACCCACTGACCAATGCCCAGCCTGACCTGAGCAGTCCCTTCCAGGTAACTCCCCTCAGTTGTCCTACTGGGCTGCAGTCTGGAATAACCCTTTGGCTAGTTTGGGTCAGGTGTCTTGTCTCTGCTCCCTCACGGCTTCTTGTGCCCCTCCTCACTGGCAGAGCATGAGAGACTGGGAAGTCCCTGATCAGGGTAAGTGCTACTCAGCAACAACTTAAACATTGGAGCGTTATCAGCGTTGTTCTCAGACTAAAGCCAAAACACAGCACTGCACCAGCTACTGGGAAGAAAATTAAGCCCGCCCCAGCTGAAAACAGGGTAGAGATCAATTTCTGAAAACCCAGCCACAGCCATCCTTTTTTTACTATTAAGTTTTGGGTGGAGGGTGTTCTGTTTTGGGTTATCTTTGGTTTAACACTAGGAATGGCCACTGCAGATTCCTGTACCCTGACTACACTAAAACTGACACCACAAAATTTGCACACAGGACAGAGTCCATTTCAGGGTAAAGGTGACACTGATGGTGACAGTTTTTGTTAGTCACTTTTGGTAAGAAAATGTAAGACTCCTAGTGAATCTAAATCCAACTTCACAAGGGAAAAAACCCCAAACACACACATACACAAACTAAAACCCAATTCATAGCAAGTAAGGAACTGTGTTAAATATAAAGATACTGCCCTACTGTGCAAATTCACTGAAGAAATAACCTTTACTAAATCCTATCCACACATAGCAAGGCAGCTAAACCAGTAAATCCTCACCAATCTTTCCAATGATTAGCAGGATAAAAATCTCACAGCAGCATCAATTTTTGATGCATATAAAATTGAGAAAAGCCAAAGGGAAGTATTTCTAGTGCCTGTCAGATACACGGAAGACTGTAAAATACCTATTTATATGAACAAGGAGAAAAGAAGACAAAAAAAAAAGAAAAACTACTCCTCGGAAAAAGTCTGGCTATTTCCAAATTTGTCAAGAATGACTACGAGTGAAACTCTTTAAAACTATTCTCTTTTCATTTGTATCTTAATTATTCCTTCCAAGGGAGACTACTCTAAGCAGAACTTCCACATTCTTCTCTATCTAGTTCAACACTCTGTGGATGCCTGACAAGCAATGGTGACACTCCACACAAACTAAAGATGACAGCTTAAAGCAGGTTTTACCTACGGACCAACTAATATGCACAACTTTTTGCTGAACTGTCTCAGCTTAACTTGAACCCATGTGTCTTCCTCCAGTTAAGATGATGGCATCCTTTTATAGACCTTAACCTCTTGCTAAAGGTAGCAATGGAATCACAGTCCTTCAGTACACATGCCAAAAAGTTCCGATTCCCATATTGTCCTTGCTGTATAAGATTTGGATTTCAATTTCATGTTAACTGTTAAAAAACTGCTAAAAATCTCTGCTTTATTTCACTATGCATTTTATGTGCTTTTGTTGGTTAAGGGAAGTTAGCGTAGTGGATGATTAAGAATGTATGTTTTTTTTGTTTATGACAGAAAACAATTGCTTATGTCTACTGAACACAGAATCTTCCACAAGTCACTGCAAGAATAGAAACAAATTCTCTAAAATATTGACAGATTCATCTAAACTCTTTTTTAATCATAGTTCAGTAAAACAAAGTGAAACAAAATTCTGAATTGTATCCACTTGTCCTGGGTTCAGCTACAGCAGTCATTTTTTCTCCTTCTTAGTAGCTGGTGCAGTGCTGTGGTTTTGACTTTCAGCCTGGGAACAACGCTGATAACACTGATGTTTTTAGTTGTTGCTAAGTAATGTTTACTCTGACCAAGGACTTTCTCAGTCTCATGCTCTGCCAGGGAAGAGGGGAAGCCGGGAGGAAGCAGAGACAGGACACCTGACCCAAACTGGCCAAAGGGGTATTCCATACCACAGCACGTCATGCCCAGTATAGAAACTGGGGGGAGTTACCCGAAGGCCCAGATCGCTGCTCGGGTTGGGCTGGGTATCGGTCAGCGGGTGGTGAGCGGTTGTGTCCTCTCCCCTTGTTATTCCTCTTATCATTATTATTGGTAGCAGTAGTGGTTTGTATTATACCTTAGTTACTGGAGTGCTGTTATCTCAACCCGTGGGAGTTACACTCCTTCGATTCTCCTCCCCATCCCTCTGGGAGCAGGGGGAGGAAGGAAGGGCAGGGGGCAGTGAGCGAGCGGCTGCGTGGTTCCGGGTTGCCGGCCGGGCTTGAACCACAACACCGCTATAGTAATAAACCAACTCATATTAAACAGTAAAAGACGATGACAATAATCAACACATCAGCAGGAGCACGAGAGCCAGAAAGCCATGATTCTGGTTTTAACCTTTCATAAGAAGAGATACATCACAATACATACTGACAAACTGCATATAGCATTCCTACGCAAACAGAAAGTAAGAACTGAAGTGCCAACCAAAATATGCCTTACCTGAGTTATTCCACTGGGAGGGATCTTGTATGACTGCAGCTTCTGCTTCAATAGCTCAGGATCACTGTGGCGGAATGGGCACCCTGACAGTAAAAACCAAGTAACTTCATAAACAAGGCTGTTTACTCAGGAGTTAGTGCAGTAAGGCACTCAAGAGACCAGCTAAGCTGTTCCTAATTGTCTAACAGCTTATTAATGAAGTTAATTGCCCATGTGTACAATTGCTTACTTTTTTTAATTATTACTCCACTGCACAGTTATCAAGGCACCACAGGCTCAAGAGTTACATAAACTATCCCAACATAATACGTCACAATTCTCATTCACTGACAGGAAAAGAATTTTAGTTAGTTTTGTACTAACAATGATAGCACTGGTACATTCAATAGCTGTGAAAAAAAATACAGGAAAAGACAAGCAATGAGAGTCAACCGGTCTTTAAAGCACAGTCCTTTGTAAAAATATTACTTCAAAAATACCTTAGAAAGTTCCACTACCTTTTAAGAGTGAGGGACGTTTTATTCCATAATTAGTTTTGAGATATAACTAAATGAACAACTTAGTACTAGAATAACAACAGTGAAATCATTGTGGGTCTTCCATGTTTAGTCATGTAGAGAAATAGTATTTTAAAGTACTCTAGCAAACTTCAGAATTGCTTTACAATTTTAATTAATCTCAAGACACCTCTAATTGGTCACTTTATAAAGCACCTGTACAGTTAAAGTCCCTTGCACTGCATGATACAATGTCTAGAAATAAAGGAAAAAAGCTATCCAGTGTGATCTGAAGAGAACAGTACAAGACCAGTACAGCCTTGAAGTTAAATACATAATTTAAGAGACCACAGAAGCGAGTAACTCTCTAACCAAGGCTTTATGCTGGTTTTAAACTTCCCCTCTCTCCCCCAGGAACTCACCATGATAATCCCCTTGACTTGGTGGATTGGACATGATAATCTTCATGCAGCTATATGGGGTATAATCAGTTCTCTTCCCTTCTTTCCCATAGTTGTGGCGAATGCTGTAAGCATATCCTTTGTCAAACTAAATAAAAGCAAAAGAATTCTTACATGTTGTGCCAGTGATTCTATCTGCTCTGCAAACAGAAATACTGGATAACAAGATAAATCTTACAAACATATTCAAACTGAGAAAAAGCAATACCCAGTTACTTGCTGCCAGCTTTGATCTTTGCGCTACATAGTATGCGCATATGTGTGTTTTACAGATGCGTCATGAGAAGTGATCATGAGAAGTGATGTAAGGTTTTTTCAGCTGATGCAGTAATCACTTCAAAGATAAAATAATTTCAAGATCACAATTTTGAATCCCATGGTGCTAGTAAGTGGAGAAAACATAGTAATTTAAAACCTTTCATAAATTGATTGCTTTATCAGGACAAACACCAGAAATATAGATTTCTTTACTCAGGTTCATGTTCTTATTCTCCCAAAGCATAATGCTTCATCTACACTTTGTTTCAACACTGAAGTTCAATTCATTATATTCTAAAATGGAGCATACTTCACTTATACAAAAGAAAGAGATTTTAGAAAATCTCTTTTGTCTACTGATAGATCACCAGCTCCTCCAATAAAATGAAATCCTCTAAAGCAATACGAATGTAAACAAACATTTATCTTGGCAGCTGAGTACAGTGCTATCGATATATCATTTTAGATGAGTCCTGTGGAGAACATTCAATGATATGAGTTTATGTTCTTTTGTATGTGGCAATAGGTGACAGAAAATCTGTAGTAGAATCAGGTAATCTAACATACTGATTCCATTAAGTTGCATTAGTTACTATAAGACATTAAGAAACATTTGTTCAAATATACTGCTAGTCCTAAAAAAAAAAGCCAAACCAAACAAAACAAACCCCCAAATGGGATAAGATAATGAAGCATCATATTTAGAATTACACATCCTCAGACTCTCTTCTCCTCAAAAAAGCTATGACAATACATGAAAGAAAAACTTTGCTCTTGCTCAATTCGAAATTTTACCATTAACCTTATGCTGAGTTCTGTGTCTGAATATAAACAACTCCCAGCAGAATTTCTTTTCTTTTCCAAAGCCACTTTAAAATAATTATGTACTCTGGTATTTTGCTAATATAAGACAACATTATATACTGAGGGAAATCATTCAAGCATACAACTGGTAGCACTACCACTTCAAGGATACTCTCATTTTTACATATAAAAGTAGTTCCCTGTTTGGCCTGTGGCCTTCCAAATAGTAATTCAGTATATTCATGTACCTATGAAATATGTTGACCTTCTAGAACACGTCTAAAATAAAGCAGAAAAATGAGTGTATTTTTATTCCTATAAAACACTTTAATGTTTCTGAAAAATATAAGTAATTGAAAATCTGTAACATAACATGCATATATATAATGAACGTGTATAAAAATATACACAACCTTTGAGAATAAAATCCTAAACTGTACCTGGTTTAAAAGGTAAAAAAGAAACTTCTCTGTCAAGATGCTAGTCATAATCAAAGCAAATATATAAAGAAGAATAACATTCAACACTCATTCCAAATAAGGTTCAAGACATCCAAAGCTCTAAATAAACACTGAAAAGAGAAAGAGAAAATACATAGCATTGTGTTTGCCAGCATAGCCACAGCCAGGATCCATCATGTAGGAATATTCCTATCTAGTCAACATTTTGGCTTAGGAGAGAAAAAAACTGTTTGGAGGAATAATAAATGAACACCACTTCTGCTAGCAACAGAGTTGGGCTTACCAACTCTTCATTAGAAAGAAGGGTAAGACTGTATCATGATCTGTAGGTGTGTACAAGAACCCAGGAAGTTACAGGGGAACAGGTACCCTCCCCTTAGCAGGGCAAGCAGCAGGTCCTGCAGGAGCTGCAAATGGTATATATACTCCTGAAAAACAGAAAACACCAATACAAAGATGTGCGTATTTTAATTCCAAACCTTTGACTGAACCTGCTAACTAAAGATAGAGTCTGTCATCCCACAGCCACCTATTCTTCCATCCAGAAGCTCTGGAACCTTTCCTCATTGTTTGCTAAAGATGAATGAAAGCGTATTTCATTTGCTTAACAAACGATATTTGAGCAAGCAGTTACATTATTTTTCTGTAAGGGAAAAGCAAATCTTGAGTGCTTCAGGATGCACTGCTTAGTTTACTGGAAAATTAACACCCCTCTTTAACATTTCTGTATACCAAAATCTTGAGCTGTGCTTTTCACATCACTTGCCTTAACACCCACAGAAATTACTTTTACTACCTAACTCATTATTTTATGCTGAGAAGCAGCTCTTGCAGTAAATAGAAACAACAGCTACATAATAACACAACACAGCCTTGGGATGGGTTGGATATTTTCTCATTGCTTTCTTGTAATCCTGTTTGGATCTCAAGAGTTTTCACAGTGGCAGAGAGTAACACAGCTATATGGTGCAAGTTAGCACATGCACAGTTATGTGCTTTAATAACAGCTCTCTTATTCTTGTGATTCAGCATTTCCTAATATTGATCAAGGAAACAAGATTTTAGCAGAGCCAATATCCAACAGACTGTGTGGTCATCAGTGGAAAGAAACCATGAATTGTGGCATTTCATTTCAGAAAACACATTCCAGCCACTGCGGAATAAGTATGCCATGACTGAGAGTTACTTTCCTTAGTACACTTTATTGTCGTATTTGCAGATTAGTATCTGAAAACAGAACTTGGTCCTCCATAAATTTTGTTATCATGTTAGGGTGGAAAATAATTTGCTGACAGGTCTTCCAAGTCCTGTATGCTCAGGTTCACACTTAAACAAAACTTTTCATGTTTCAGTTTAAGTACTTTTATATACTTGTGCAATTATTATGCATCTATTCCTTACAGTACCGGGAGATTTATTTATTTAAAGTCTGACAACTAAGTAAAATGACAGCAGTAATTTTGTCTAGCTTCTTGGCTGACCACCAGATTAGTTCCAACTCTGCAAAATTCAAAGAAGTAATGGTTTAACACCTTCTTTTTAAACAGTCATAGGGTAATCTCCTGCCTAAAATTGTTGAGCCTGTATGGATAACAGCTTTCAATTCATAAATTTATTGCACACACTTGTGTACCTTCTGAGGTAATTTGTTCACTTTTTCATCCATTTCCTAGGCAGTTGCTCAAACCATTATTGTTGATACTGCTTATCTAGCATATCTTTTTCCAAGCAACTTTCTTTTTTAAGCTCACTATTAAAACCACCTCAATTGAAGATTATCTTTTCCCAAGCACAGCTGTCATTTAGGAGCACAAATAAATGCTTCTCTATCTGCCAACAAGAAGTTTCAATTTATCCTAAATTCTCAACCTGTAGCACAATTTCTACCTTAAAGGCACAGATCAGAGACATCAGCTAAAACTGAGTTGGAAAATTCCAATACATTGTGTGGAGGTGATTACAGACCAATTCACACTGAGTACAAAAAGCTTCTTCCCCTCCTATTTCAGGTTTTCCAAGCCACATGAGGCAAGAACTGCTTTGCCCTGGAGATGACTCCATCTAACACAAGGAAATCAGAAAAGTTTTCATCAAACTCCTTGTATACCACCCACATGAGTGTAAGGTGTGCAGCTAATGAGCTAGTTTTGTGGCTACCCCAGACCAGGCATGCAAAAATACAACAATGCAGCCTGTTATTTAAAGTAGCCTAAGTTGCCTTAATATAACTCAGCCCAAGATACAATTCATGTACACTGTTTCTCCACTTATTTGCATGGACTAAGACTTTGAAGCAGAAGCACAAAATAAACTACAGCAGGATGTCTTCTGCCTTAAGACACTGCATCAAATTAACAGCACAACAAACACACTGAGCAACTTGGACTAGTGGAAGGTGTCCCTGCCTGTGGCAAGAAGGTTGGAACCCGATGGTCTTTCAGGTCCCTTCCAACCTAAACCATTCTATGACTCTATGATCTTAAAGCCATCTCCTATAAAACTATGGTTTTTCTTAGGCACACACTTGGTCATCTATGGACAATTTTATTAGCCACTTCAAGACACTGCAGTATTTCTTTCTGTATCTAAGTTATCAATACTTCTTTTTTAGTCGATGTTTCATGTCCTTTTTACTGAAAAAAGAACAAAAAACAAACCCCTCAGGTACAGAAGATGCATTTTGAAACATATGGTCGTAGACATTTCAATTCAGGTTTGAAAGGGGGTCATAAAGGTTAATGCTACTACAAAAACTACTTTAAAGAACAGCTAAGAGCACGTAAAATTGTGACTCCATTTTAATGCTCACCAGTAAGAGTAGAAGGAGAAAAAAAACTAAGTGATTTTTATTGTAATATGTGATTCATTTCTACTTCTGGAAAACTGAAATGTCTTTGTGATTACAGAATTATACAGCAGTCTTTGTTTAAAGGTTATTTTTACAGATCTGATTCCCTTAGCATAATATCCTACATTCTTGGAATAATATCACCTATACAGAGCATTTTTCTTTGATAAAAAGACAGAGCTGAAAAAAAAAAAATCCTTTCCATATTACACTGCACCAATCTCCTAATTCTTTAGGGGGTTACAATGCTTAAGTCATTTCACATAGTACTCCGCTAATTATACCAGTAATTTTCTCTGATATTGTTACTATTTCAAAAAAATCACAAACGTAGCAAAAAATGAAAATGCTATGGATCTAGGAATATCACTGCTTTGATACTCCCAAGAATCATTATTTTTCCTAAATATTTGCTTAAACTATTTGAAAATTTTCTGTAACACTACAAAAAAAAACAAAACAAAAACAAAGAAAAAACCAAACAAAAAAAACCTGAGAGAAAGAAAGAACAGAAAGAACAGCCCTTTTAAGACAAAAATCAGTTTGTAGATAACTCATTTCGCCCACATCAGAATTCCACTAACAAGTTAATACACAATCTTATTGAAAATATTGAAAGTTTCATGTTGGCAGTTCAGACTGCTGCTGAACAGAGAGATGCAAATATTTGTAATTTCAAATAAAACAACTACACGAAGAAATAGTCATGTTTATGAA